TAAAAAGTAAAATTATCAGAATCTCAAGACATCTATCTAGATTTTTAACGAATCAATGTAGTAAACTGTAAATTTTAAATTTAGCGGATAAATAGTGTACTAACAAAGGTGTTATTTACTGAAAGTGAGTATAGGTGGCGGTGACAAAATTTATTGAAAGTAAAAATATTAAACTGGGAAATGAGAAATCAAAAAATACTAACAAGAAAATTAGAACACTGAACAAGAAAATATAAAAATTCTTATGTAAAAGGGAAATTTGAAGCAGATAATCAAAAGAAAAATTACTTTTACAGGAAACGGAAACTAAGTTGACAAGCACGAATGTCAAAAAAGAAAAGTCAAATTTTGGCGTATGACAACCAAGTGGGAGAATATGAATAAACTAATAAAGAAAACATTTAATAAGATGCGAGTGGGCAAAAATTAATGGAAACAGAGAAGAAAATCTAAATTGGGAGAGTTAATTAATTTGTGGTAAGTAACTGATTGAAGATCAAATGAGTGGGGGTATAAGTCTGAAATTAATTTAAATAAGCGCAGAGAACGTTGGGGTACTAATAAATTGAATTTGTGCATTCAGAGAGCAGGAGGGGCCAGATTTAATATTTTTTTAAATTTCCAGGTTCTCAAAGTTATTCAGAAGGAATTTATTAGAAGTCATATGCAAAATGTCGAAGCCAATGCTAGAATCAAAATCGTGACCAGTGTCTAACAAATGAGTGTTAGTGTTAGGACAGCGTGTGTGCTCTTTCAGGCGTATTTTAAAAAAGAGCACACACGCTGTCTTAACACTAACACTACTGGTTTTTCTCACTTTGCTGCTCATTTGTTTTCAAACAACTTGAACCAAAATGAAGAGATAAATTTAAATTTGAAAATATTAATATTAATAAAATTATGATTTAGCAAGTTGTAAACATCCCGAAATACATAATTTTGGGTGTGAGGATGACCAGGAACTTGTTGGATACGTTGTGGACAATGAGCACTGATGATATGATGGCAAATAAGCCGAAAGCGCTTTGCATTGATTAATAAAAAAGTTTTGCACGAAATACAAGTTTTTCCTTTTTGAATCTAAACTACGTGCACACAGCTGTCAACCTTTTTTGGTTTTTTTAATATATTATTTTGTTTGGAATAATATATTATGCTTTACTATGTTTAAATATGTTAAATAAGATTTTTCCTTTTCATATTAATTTTAGTCTTTGTGAAATTATTAATTTAATAGTTTTAAATTGTTCATTTAATAGTTAAAAGCATTTTATCTAAATCCTGTTCAATTCCCTATTTCCTGTCTTAAAATTTTAACCTTTTCTTTTTAGCATGGTTATATCTAGACGGTTTATTTGAATTCCTATCATAAGTTTTGAATTTCTTTCAAGAAGTTTTATGGTTTTTATACCTAGAAGTTCGTTTTGGTTTTGGTAAAATCTGAAGACCGTGGTTTGGTTCATCTATAAAAGATCTACACGTTTCAAGTTAAGTTAGAATACCAAATATCACGAGATCGTTCAAGTCGCCGAATTACGAATAAGGATACCGAATCCCTTTGAAGTTGCCTGAAGATATACCATGCAATAACATTCCTTTTATTACGTTCTTTTAACTAAAGATAAGTGCTTTTAAATAAATAAAAATTTAGTAAAACTATGTGAATTAGAATTTGCTACTACCTTATCTAAAACTAAAACTAAATATAATTTGTTAGTGGTTAGTGATTTTCTATATTTTTATCAATTGAGATTAAACACATCATAACAAATAGATAAAATATCAAGTATCATGTTACAAGGTATAATATACATACAAAGAAGTAAAAATATATTGGTTAAAAGTTAATGTACAACTATTCAAAATAATATTTGCTATAAGTCACAATACAGACTCTGAATAAAGCAAATATACGTAAATACCTAAAATTAGTGCCGAAGCATTTTCCTCATACTTATCTACTTGGCTAGGCCCTTAATGAAATGAGCACGCAGGAATTCAAGAATTCGTTAAAATGCCGACACTCCAACGAACCCCACTGAACTTTCATGGAGACATTTTCGTTCGCCTCCCCTTGCTGTAAATGCAAATTTAAATGATTATTGAAATTCTCCATCAGGACTTCGTTACTGACTTACAGGATAACATTGTTCCTGAACGGAAGGAACAGCGGTTAGACAAATCAATGTATTCCAGATGTCGGTGTTTGACAGACGTTAAGTTCAAAGGGAAACATGAGACCAGCTCCTTCTTTTAAATCCCGATGAAACAAGTAGTCATGTCAAAAATTTTGGTAGGTAAAAATCTTCGATTAGGATATGGGGAAATATACCGTACCCTATCTGTTTTTTACGCTGGTAGAAGAAAAGTCTTCAAATAAAAGTTGCATTTGATGGCATTCTCTACAATTTTTGTCATACAGTGAGGACGTAAAGGTTGTAATAAATTCGATATTTTTCTCTCTATAAAAGTATTTTAACAAAATGCTTCCACAAATCAATTTTCATTTTCAACTGCGCGGCTTACGCTACAATTGGATGTACTAATGACGTCACCACTTTCGTACATATGACGCCATTGTTTTTTTTTTAATAAAACATGTTTTTCTATTCATTTTTTAATTCCCTAATAATAGACGATTACAAAAATGTATGTAATACTTATAGTCCAAAGTCATTGGCTTGTGAATCAGAGACAAATGTTATATCAGAAATTTTGAATCTAAAATTTTATTGAAAATTTCACACCACCATTTTTAAGCCAATCAGAGTCTATTTTTTTGTTTGGTTACCATGGTAACCCAAAAAATTTCCGGAAATTTTCATCCTCCAGGGAACCCTGGACGAAATTAATAAGTGGAAATTTTTATGTCAAAATAATGACACTTGTAATGGGCTTGATTCATATAAGACTTTTTGTTTACTTTTTGTGCAAATCAAAATTAAACAATTACTACTTCTTTTGGTTTTTTTTTAAATTTCTTTATTATTAATTACATCTATTAAATGTTTTTCAAAATTAGTTAAAAAATCTTCTTTCTTCAGTGGTGAGTAAGAAAGGACACTCGTATTAACTAAATGTCTATGCTTAAGTATATAAATATAATATTTTGAAACAATTCGGTTAAACTTAACTTTACAAATCCGAGAAAACTTGGTAGACACATTGAGTAAATTCTTCTGTATTGTACTAAATAGATTTTCCTCAGGATTTTGTAAACTGCACTCCAAACTACATTCATCAATGAGGTACGACAAATATTTTAAATTTGTGTGATACACTTTGAGATCACACAGTTGTTCACAATGTTTGCATAATGTATATTTTTTAACTTTTTCCATAGTAATTCGATTTACCAAGATTTTTTAATAATGACGCAAAAACTTTTCCAAAAGTTATAGGTTATTATTCTGCACTGTCAGTGAGTTAAACTGTCAGCAAAATAATTGTCTACAATTTTTCCAAAGCTACCTAAGTGTTATTTGTTTCATGCAGGTATTTGGAAACTGCAATTACAGCTTAACATATTTTAGGTACAAATTAATTAAAAGAAAACGTTCCACCTACTTTAATGAACATAACTTAGGTTATAACTGTAAAATAAATTTGTTTTAAATAAGTTTTAGAAATTTTATTAAACTAAAATCGGTGGAACATTAATATTTTTGTAGTTGTAGAAACTTCATACCAATTATAACACTTGAATAATGAAAGAAAAACAGTGTTCCACCTATTTTAGTAAATATAACTTAGGTTATAACTGTAAAATAAATTTATTTTAATAAATTTTACTAATTTTATTAAACTAAAATCGGTGGAACATTATTATTTTCACAATTTTATTTAGATACTTTGTAATTACAATTATTATCTTGAATAATGGAAGAAAACAATGTTCCTCCAATTTTAGTGAACATAACTTAGGTTATAACTGTAAAATAAATTTGTTTAAAACAATTTTTACTAAATTTATTAAACTAAAATCGGTAGAACATTATTATTTTCACTATTTTAGTTAGATACTTTGTACCTGCAATTATAACACTTGAATTATAAAAAAATAAGGTCCACCTGTTCTATTATGCAAAACTTTATTTATAATAATAACTTTAAACAAACATTAGTATTATTTATTAGTCTCAATACAAAATTATAATTATTATAATTATTATTATTACTTTTTTTACTTTTTAGCTTATTCTATTTGTTATTATTGGTAATATTAAAAATACAGTTATTATAATTATTTGTTAGGTAATTTGAACCTTCAGAAAACGTGTTGTCTTCAATTTCAACTGATTTGTGAAAAACGGTTGTCGAAGAGGTGTTAGGGAAGTTACTTCTTATGGACTCAATTATATTTTGATGATGTTCAGAATCTAACTGGAGATATGGCTTATTTGATTGGCCAGTTATTTTAATAAGTTGCTGCTCACTAACTCCTTTTTTAGGTAAGTTAGAAACAGCTGCCGCTCTGGCCGAATGATTTGTCACTTTTTTTCTTTTTATCTCGATACCAATATTAGATGTTGCCGACTTAAACCAAGTGGATATCGTATTCTTTCCTACCGGACAATTCTTGTACCATCCCTTAGAGTCAGGTTGATTCCAAGTAGGATTAGGGGTTAAAAATAATCTTTCAGTTTTTATGTTGTTACCCCCCCCTTTTTTCTAATAGCTTTTTGAATAAACGAACGGGGCAAATTTCTGAGTTATTATTGTTTGTAACTAGCCACTTACTATCAGATAATTTTTTAGAACCCCCTTGAGCTGTTTTAGAAAAAACTGTATTATATTCTATCCTTTCACTTAAATTACCCTTATTAATAATTTCCTCTGTAAAATACTGGATACAAGCTGATGACTTTTTCCCTCCAGGATAGCTCAAGGGATGCGACATAAAAAAAATTCGTTGAAGACCATCTGGACAATCTTCATCGCAAGTTTCTATAATTTTGTTAAATTCGTCGTTAGATAATGCCAGCGAACTTGATTTTTTTTTAAGGGTCCCTCTGCAATTTTCTTCGCATTGCATCACGCGCTACTCTGGCAGATGCAAATTCGGGATCGGTAAATGGGTCAAATTTAATATTATAATTAATAAAAAACATCTCTTTTAACTGTTTTGCTGTGCTATTCCACATTACTTTTACAACACCCTCCTTATAATCATATAAGCTTTTTTTCTTCATGTTAAATGCATGGTCTTCTAATATTTGACTCAGTGCTTCAATCGAAACAGATGGACTGTTAATATCATAAGATTTCTCAAAACAAAACTGCAAAAATTGTCTCCACACACTTTCTTTACTCCTCTTTGTATTTTGTGGCACTAACTTTTCGACTTCTTTTCTAATATTCTCTTGATTTTCGTTTCCAAAACGCGACATTTTTACTCACTCGTTATAGATACTACACTGGACCTCATAAACTGACAGCAAATTTTGACGTGGAATAATTTTTGACATACCCACAAACACTTATGACTAACTACAGCAAAACTAGTCTTCCCTTCTTCATGTCCTTAAATAATCAATGTCAAATAAAAATTATTTGCTTTTAAATTTTTTAGGTGTGAAATTTTCTTACCAAATCCCACACGATCTTAAATTAATAACCGGAAACTTTTCCTCGTACACGATTTTTTAAGAAAATCGTGTACTCGAAAAAAAATTCCTGTAATAATTCAAGCTCTAGGGAGATTACTAGTGAACATTTTACATCTTTACTTTTCGATCAATAAGAATTTTGACTATACTCTGTTTTTAAACTAGGAGGAGCGAATTGAAAAGACGCATTTACACAGGGAAAAGTAACTAGATTTGTTACTAAGAGCGAGTTTCGATATATAGTCGTGTTCAAAATTTAGGAAATAATTATCTTTATCGGCCTTAGTCGATGAACGGTCAATGAGCGGTTAAGAAACGAATAAATGTCATAGAAGTAATTTTTTAATTGGTCCCACACAACGGTCGCAAATTTCACATTATTGTGATCTGAAATGTGTGTCTAAAACGAAATGTCACTGTCAAATTAAAGTCAATATGGTTGTTGATTGATGTCAGAAATACTTTTTTCTTGCTTATGAAATCGACTTTTTGAGAATAACTATGATCTTTTTAAAATGGATAATAAATATTTAAGAAAATTGTTAATGGAATATCCAGATGTAGCCAGGTTAGTATAAAATATAAAGATCTGTTTACATTTTTACTTTCCTATCTGTATACAGATATAAGGAAAGTATAGGAATCATGATTTTTTTAAGGATATATTTGTTATAGGTATAAAAAGTAAAAGTTAATCAGTGAATGACAAATGGATCACACAGTAACTGGAATATCTTCTATGAGTAATGTGGATATTATGGCTTATTTAGTGTTAACCCATGGTTAATGCGCTAGAGGGCAAATAAAGGCATTCAAAAGTTTACAGGCCTATGAGTCAGAATTTGTTTTAAAAACTGGAACCAAAATTCTCATAACACTACATGTCAACATATATTTTTTAAAGTGAACTATTCATACATACCTATGTATTAATTTTAAGTATTTTTAATATATTTTTTGTGAAAAGAATGTTAACTCATTGTGCCAAATTAAGATTATCCCTAAAGTAGTAGATGGTGTTTTAAATGTTATAACAATTTAGTAAATAGTTTTATTCTATTCTAATAAATAAAATTTGCTTGAATATTTAGTTACATTTTAATCATTTTGGTTAGAAACTCATCAATTTTTAGTTTTAAAAAATCAGTAATAAAATTATTTTTTTCTAAAATACTTCGGAATTCATCTCTTCATGGTAATCTCCCATCTTTTTACCTTCAAAAACCAATAATGCATTTTCTACAAAACCTTCAGAATCAGCATGTAAAATAATGTCTTCCCTTTCTTGTAAGGCTTTTCAGGAATTGCTACCTTTAATAGTACTCAGTGTAGAAGGATTCATAATTGTAGACTTTCAATACAATTGCTTACTGAAGAATATTATTTACGAAATAAAGTAAAAAACTAAGTAATGGGCGAGATATCAAATTATAAAATGTCAGAACTGTCAACAATATCAATTATTAGCTGATGTTCATGCTAAAAAGTAATGTGTGAAACTGACTGTAATCTGACCAATTAGAAGGCTACAGAATTGCCAACTTAAATTCAAATCACTCCTCTTAGTTTAAAAACAGAGTATAGTTACAATGGCAACTAAAAAAATTTACGGACATTTTTTCGAGGCGCCACGATATTTAAGTGGAAATTTTTGACAGTTGAAAAACATATGATCTACAACCATTAAATAATGTACCTGTGAATAATGCAAAATTTCTATACAAAGTAACATTATTATTTATTATTCGCTATAAAGTTTCTTTAAACAGAAAACACAAATTTGTTTAATTATTATGCATTAACAATTTATATTTCAAAAATCGTAGAATGTACAAAGTAAGACTTAAATGTTGCTTGAATTATAACCCATTCTCTCTTCTTATGGTCTGTGTTTTAAGACATATATGTAATATTTTGAAACAATTTTGTTCAAATCCCTTTTAGGCAAAAGGCTATTTACTTGACATCTTTAGCAGACTTTCTTGGATTTTCGTAAATAAACCATTCGACTCTAACGCTTTCTGGTAGCAATCTTTCATTAAATTCGTTAAATATATTAATTTTGGATGACATATTTGCACTTAACTCTTTGCAATATTTACATAAATCGAACTTTTCAAAGCACTCCATTTTTCTCAAATTGTTTAACGCAAATGCATACAAGAAATATTTTACCTAAGAATATCTTTTTTTGCTGGTTTACTATACAGTAACTCAATGTAGTTTACCAATATAAACCTCATTTTTTAAAAGCCGCCCATTTATCATGGCCTCCTACTACAACAAAGCATGTTAAAATTATATTTTTTTAATTTAGAAGTGGAAGGGAGTACTTTAACAAAAAATACATTTTTAGCAGTTTTAGCATTTGGTGTGACTAAAGTTAGTAATTTTTTTATTTAACGAAATGTTTCTTTGAAATTGCATCACGTTACTTGTAAAAAATACATTTCTACCATTTTTAGTGACTTAAAATTACCAAAAGGCGATATATTGAAACACTACTCATCTGAATTTTAGCATTTAATGAAACCCGTGTAACTAAAGTTGGTATTTTTTCTATTTAACGAAATATACAGTTCATCAAATTTCTAGAGGTGTTCGACGCCCAGACAGAGAACGCGTTACGTGTGACTAAGATAGCTATTGTACAATCTGCTAAACAAGTTATTTTAAATAGTTTTTAATATTTTTAGGTAATTAAATTTTAAAAGTGGAATAGTTTAGGGATTAAATTGGTCTGATTGGACTTTCTTAGAACGTTTTTAAAAGCAGCTAAAGATAGTATGTAGAATTGAAAATAATTATTATGCCATAAAAGGTGTTTTGGAATTCCTTCAACCTTTTGAAATTGAGTCAGAAAATATAAATTTTATAGGATAGCGGAAAATACCTATAATTTTTTTGTAGGCCTTTGTAAATCGTGGAAATAGTTTATATTTTATTTCTACCTTATTAAGGAAAATGGTACCTATTATTAATAACGGTTGTTTCTGAAACATTACTAAAATTTTCGAATTTTTGTTTTTCTACAAAGTAATAAACTATACTATTTAGAAAAAAATTTATTTCTCTTATAATTTTATAAAAAATAACAGGGGAATATTTACATTTCTTGATCTATTAAACAAAACGATAAATTATCTCGACGAATGACACCATGTTCTAGTACGGAAGCTAGCTTTACATTTTTGTTCGTCGTTTCATGGGTTTCATATCAATTTTTTGTAATTGTAGTTTACACGTACATATACCTCTTAACACTTGTTTGCTTTATTAAAAAAGTGTGTTGTGATTTACGTCGAAATAAGTCAAAAACAACTTGAAACCCCATATAAAATCAAAAAGGAGAAACGGAAAAAAATTGAGCCTGTAAATGAACACAACTCAGAAACAAAAATAGCTATCTAATAATAAAAAAATAAAATTTGATTCTTGTGCAACTTCATCTATATCATTAACTGTTTTTGGTTTTTTAATGGTTTTTCTTGGTGATGAAAATTCCAATATCTCACGGTTATCGATTCTTTTTTTCTCTTCAGAAATGCGGACGACAGTGTTTTTAGATACTCCTGTGGCTGCAGCAACACGATCATTTACATTTTTAAATGGTATTGAAGGTGAATTAAAGTTTCCTTCTCTTCTCATAAACTCTATAACATTGGCTATTATTTCGCGAGATTGACTGTTGATGCGGCCTCTTAAATTGCTATTAAACTCCATACTTAGGTTCTATTAAACTGTAATGAGCAAAAAACACAAACGAAAATAAAAGAAATGTTTTAGCGAAATTTACATCTGACATTTACGTCTGAATAAAATAGTGAAATACTTGATGCGCAGAGTGTACTTTCATTGCGTAAATCCGTCGGGATGCCTGTCAGTAGTGCTTTCTCTGTCTAGCCGTCGAAAGCCTCTAGAAATTATCTACATATGAATTTCTTCGAAATTGCGTCATGTTACTTGTAAAAATATTTTTCTACCACCTTTAGTTAACTAAAATTACCAGAGGGCGATAGACTGAGCTAGTACCCATCTGAATGTTAGCATTTGGTTTAACTAAAGTTGGTATTTTTTTTTATTTAACGAAATATGATGGATATACCCAGTGGCGGCTTGTAGTAATTTAAAATGGGTGTTCACTTTTTCCAATAATTTTATCATTTCTAAGTTCGGATCAAAACTTTGTACAAGAGTCAATATCGCCAAGTTTTTTTAATATTTGAGTTTGTATTAAGGAGGTCCTTTCGCCACACCTCTCGCCTCCAATGTTAAAAAAAAGTTATTATATAATATATAAAATTAATTTTTTTCTAATAGTTGAAGTCCTTATTTATCTAATACTGAACTTTTAACTATACCTTACCTTGCAAATTTTTGAGAATTTTTTTTTAAAAATGTGAGTATTTGTACAGTGCCTCACGAGAAAGTAAGTCCTCAACAAAAATTCTCGAATTATACTATTATTTATTGATTAGATGGAGTAGAAAAAAACTAAAAATAAGGTTTTTGAAATATTTAGATTTTGTTTTATACAATAAAATATATATAGTAAACCGTGGAACTTATTGAGAAATTAATATTAAAAAATCACAAAAAATTTTTAAGTAACCTAGTTGAAAATTTTTTAATAATAATTTCTCAATAAATTCCACGGTAACCTATATATTTTATTATAAAAAACAAAACCTAAATATTTCAAAAACCTTATTTTTAGTTTTTTTCAACTCCATCTAATCAATAAATAATAGTAAAATTAATTATAATTCGAAAATTGTTGT